TTTTACAATTTTTTATTCAAAAAAATAAGTTGTTGCAACGTTTTGAAATTCAGTCTGTTGCGCTTTTTTGATATTAGTTCTCCAGCTGTTGAAAACACCCGCTCACACGGCACAGATGAAGCTGGAGTGCACAAAAATTTTAAGGCCAGGCGGAAGAGGTTTGGATAAACCGTCCTTTGGTTTTTCCAATATACAAGAGGATCCTGGGACCTCGCAATATTGCCCTCTGCCATGTATCTCTGCACCTCAAGAATGGCATCAGCTGTGGCACTTTTGGTCTGCCTCCCCACTTCGAGATCAAAATGTTCCCAAAGGTCATCTTAAAAAAAAAAAAAAGTATTTTAGTACATGATTTACAAACAACAAAGAAATGATGCTCAATATCATGCCTGAAGTGGGGGCAGACAGCTGTTGTGAAGATGTTCCCGGCTGGGGCTCATTTGAGCTTCCAACTATTGAGGCACATTCTGTCCGCAGCCTGCTGTACTTCCATTTTCACCCGTTCCCGTTCCTCCTCGTACTTTTTGGCCAACAGTTGTTTGATGGTCTGAAAACCACACCAAGTCAAACCAGAAGAAAATCAATATATTTAAAATAAAATTGATGAATAAACTACCACTTTAGATAATTTCCACACAAACCTTTCTGGTTGGCAAAACATATGAGGGCTCAAGGAGCTGAACCAGCTCCCTGAACCCTTCATTCTCCACAACAGCGAGGGGCTTGCAGTCCTTTACAATGAAATTAAGCACAGCCTCATCAAGCATCTGCTTCCTGGAAGCTTGATGGTTAAAAATGAGAAAGTGTAAATTATTCAGAATTATCAATAAAACAAAGTCAGTAAGTTGTAAAATACCTGAGTTCATCATGGTTGTGTCATAGATTTCACTCTCATGCTTGGCCCTGTAATGCCTCAGCATTGAGGAGGTGCTGTTATTTAAATATGCAAGCTCTGTTGAGCAATTGCGACATTTAACCTGTAGAAAATAACACGAACAGTAAACTAAAGGTCACTTTGAAATGAATTTCTACTCAGAAAATCAAGTGGAAACTCTGAGAGGAACAGGATGAAACAAGGAAATTAAAACAAATACCTTATTTTCCGAAATGACATCAAAGTGGTCCCACACGGCAGAAGCCTTTCTTTTTGCTTGAGGAAGCTCCATAATTTTTTATTAATTTTATATTCGCAAAACACGCAAGATTGTTTTGGCAGATGCGCTTCCTTATAAAGGCTTGTCAATCAGTTCGAAGCATCGGTCACGTGACCGATACAGGAACTGTTTCGGTCACGTGACTTTTCCGTAGCGATACACACGTCGACACAGGTTTCGCTCTATGAGACCGACACATGCGCCGACGCATCGGTGTTGCCCGACCCATCACTACTCTAGCCTGAAGCTCTAGGTGAGCCTAACCTGCTAATCTGCCCTGGTGAGCCAACCCGAAGATTCCTTTGTGGATTTTAACTGAAGACTTCTATGTGGAGTTTACCTGAAGGTTCCTATGTGGAAGCTCAGCCTGAAGAATCCTATGTGGATATTCCCTGTTGTTCTCTGCAGTGAGCTGGAAGCTCAGATCAAGGTCTGCCATGCTAAGCCTGAAGCTAGATGCTTAGCTTCACATGAACTCTGCTAACCAACAGTCTCCGGTCCCAGTTAAGACTTTAGTGATCCAGCTTGGACCAGTTCCAGACCCAATTTATGTCCTTGTGTTTTGTGCTTTATTAATAAACTCTGTTGAACTTTTACCCCGTTTCCGTGTGTGTTCTGCATTTTGGGCTTTACTCAGAGACTCATCATGACATAGAAGATGCCTGGTACCAATAGTATCTGAAAAATGTTAAAGCTTGATTTGGAGTAGCAGGTCTGTGTTTTTTTTTTTTTTTAGCATATCTTTCCTGTTGGTATACCATCACAGAGCAACATCGACACTTAACTGTTGTTTTATTGATGTATTAATCTTAAAGTTGCACAGTGATCAATAAATCAACTAGTTAAACATCAAAATGTATCATTGAGATAAAAGACTTGTGGATAAGAATCCATTCAGTCTGGCACACTGCGATTGTGGCTTGATTGGGCAATCAAGACTGTCACTTAAGAGTTGCATAACTCTGGCTTTAGGCCACGGCATGGTTGACCGCGTACAAAGAAAAACCTGTTAGGAGCTGGGAAACTCACCTCTGTGATGCTCTGAAAACTGAAGAAATAAGATTTATATCTAACCGATTTGTTCCATTTTGTTCCTTTTTGCTTAATATGTTAAACTGTTAGCAGGACTGAAGGTCACAGAAACACTGCACATTAGCGTAGCACAAGATGATTATGCCTATGCTGCACATATTCAAAGAGAGATTTACATGCTGTCATTGTAGGTGTAAAAGTCATTAATTTTAATTCTGAGCAAGACTGAGTTCATTGTTCATCTTATCTAATTAGATCTTAGCTAAACAACATGGAGGTCCTTCCTCCTAAGAGGACGGCCTGTTTGGTACATTGACTTAGACTTAGATTTAGAGTCATGTCAGACTTTGTTGTCAGGTTGATACAGAGTCTGTGACATGATTTAGAGTTTGGCTGTGTCTAAACGTCCACCCCTAATCACTATATAGAGCACTATATAGTGGTTACGCCATTTTGGATCGGTGTCCGAACGTCCAGTGGTTAAAAAAGTAGAGGAATCGTAATGATGATCCATCGTCACTAGACCAGCAAATATTGTCATGATCTTGGTGCTGATGGCTGGCCTGATTACCCATTTTATTAACCTGTCTTTGTCCTCCCGGCTCCACCTGCTTCAGCCTCTGTTTAACCAGCCTTCAACCAGTCATCAGTGCCAGATTATTCCAGCCTATGGTGAGAGTTCTCTAGTGTACCTGTGATTTTTGATTACCTGATCTTGACCCGTTCTGCCTCTGTACCTCTGAGCTTGCCTGTTCTGATCTGTTTGCCTGACCTGTCTTCAGACTCCTGCTGGATATCTGCTTGTCTGTGGAATGAACCTGGAACTGTTTCCCGACACTGTCCTGGATGGCTCTGACTCCTGAGCACCTCTTCAACACTGGCTTTGGCTTCGCCCTCTGGATTATCCTGCCTGTCCTCTGACCTCAGGGACATCAGCGTCTGGGACTCTCTGGGAGGCACCCACCACGTCTTGCTGGCAGCCAGCCGGCTGAAACCAACCTCATCGTCTGGGCATTGACTCAACTATAAGACCAGGTTAGTGACTCACACGTTAATTTTCATTCTCTGCCAGATAGACATGGTCATTAACCTGTTGTCTCTTCCTGCAGAGTTTCCTGTCTTAGATGCAAACACTGTTCCCTGCAGCTTCTTTTTAATAAACATTTCAAGAAATCCAACTGACTGTCTGCCTCGAATACTGGGTCCTTCTGGTCAGAGCCTGACAAATATATCGAAGATTATTTTGCTAGAGCTCTTCTTGCAAAGCATCATGTGATTTGTTGTGGCAGCGACAGATAACAAAGATGGCGCAGGCACTGTGCAGGGAGGCAGAGTTACGTGATCAACGGGGAGCGAAAAGTAGTGATCAACCGAAGGGCCAGTTAACTGAATCCACTATATAGTCCCTGCTCTATATTGAGGGATTTAGGACCAACATTAACAAAAATTGTGGACTATGCTTAATTTGATCTACATTTATCAATTCTGCAAAGAAAAGTTGTCAAATATCTATCTAGAAATAAGCTATTTGTATTTTATTTTCAACACCTGCACATTTACTGTAGGATAAAAGAGTGACTTTTAAATTCAAACATGTCTTCATTTGAATCTCAAAAGAAATATAAAAAAAATACAGTAAAAACCCAAGAACGATACAGTAGTAATTGCATGGTGAGCTATTCATATTAAACCCAATAAAATACTAATATTCATTGTAAGGGTCAAACAGGTCGTTGGATGACACAAGGCTCTGAAATGAACAGATAAGAGTGCTGCCTACCCCTCTGTCCTCTCACTTACTAATCTAACTAAATATTTGTAACTGACACAATAATGACACAGTTGTACTAAATCTCAGCACGTACACACTTCTTGATAGTGCCTTATCTTTGTAATTCAGCTGCTTATACTGGAACAGTATCATTTAGTTTCCTCATATTGAGACCAATGAGCTACCAACTTTGTACAGACATTGATGTCAATTCAGTTATCAGAGCCATCTAACGTCATCTCTTTATTAGTCAAGGTAATAGCCAATCAATAATTCCTTTCAGACTTAAGCTCATTGACGAGAGTTCAAGAGTTTACTTTGTGTCAAACTTAGTGCCATGCAGTCTATATCTGTTAATAAATATCTATATTTGAATTTGCAGCTAACTGCTTTACAGCACAGCTAAAGTGTTTAGATTGGTTTAATAGTGATGCTATGTTCATCAGTGGTGCTATCTTTATTGTGCCAATAAAGAATTTAATTGTTTATGATCAGTATTTGACATATTTTAAAGCATAAATAAAGACAGGATGAACATTTGTAAAAATGAAACTGTTTATTGTTCTATTGTGGTGGTCAGGGTTACTGCATCACAGACATCTTCTATGCAACAACCAACCAGCGCTGTGAAAAATTACACACAATAGAAATGCAGGAAAAAATAAAAATCCTGAGTTTTTATCTAAACATTTTCTCTCATAATATAAAATAAAATACTTCCCATGTTGCTCTATTCATAAGAATAGATTTAAAAACTTGCCGATTAAAAAAAAAAAAAACTCTTCACAGAGTTTAGGATTTTCTGTAAATAAATTACATGCATCACACTTAAAAACAGCAAAACTCCAAAGCTTTACATCCCTTACTTCAAAGGCAAACAGAATAGACCTTTTCATTTAAACTGTACAGATATTGGTCACAATCCTCGATACATGTCAACAGGTTTAAGACAGTTTTGAGTGGCATGAATCAAAAGTGAAAACAGTTATGAAAAATTGAATTTTTTTTCTCCCACTTTACATATATATATATAAATTATTTCTAAAACAAAATATAATCTTTTTAAAACAGCTCCAATGTTGACTACATGTAATAACTTTACACAAGTATAGTTACACAGGTTGTGGACAGACAGGAATGTTGTTATTGGAGAAAAAGAGGCTGTCCTAAGGCCTGGCAAACAAAAGGCAGATTCAATCCACATCCAAGCCTATTCATGCATTCGTCCTGTGCTGCATGTTTGCCAAGTTCAAACCAGGCAAAGATAAAGTCATTCTAATTAGTGGATTGTCCGTTTTGAACCGGTCTAGTCCTGATTTTCAGATGGGTTACATAGTCATCGTGGGTCCACTTTTTCATGGCTTCTCAGCAGTTTCCCTTAAATCAATTTCATGGCATTGTTCTAAATGCAAATGTCTTCATCAGCTGGAGCCCCTCTATGCAACGTCTAATTGTTCTCTTGTGAAATTGTGGTCTAAGAAAAGAGAGAAAAATAAATTCTTCCATCATATGATTGAGGTGAATTAAAGTGCAGGTAAATAAAGCTATTGTCTCCTTACATCAATGAACACCAATAAAGACAAAATAATGATTTTATATATCAATGGAACAACCATCCTATGTAAAAAGGTACCTTTTGCATTGTTTTTTTCTAAATATTGCGTAATTTCCATCAGATTTAAGTTTGTTCTATGACAAGGTAACGTCCAACATTTTCTGAAGGGCACAATACATGGTTGCATCAGTTAGTCCATGTTTTAGAGCAGTAAAGCCTTACACTGCTGAAATCATATTTTACTCTCATTAAAAGGTTATTTTTCCCCAAAATATTTTATATGAAGTCATCTATATTAGGACGAAAACTTGCCACAAAATACCTCTTTCATCTCATCCACACAGATTCTATGAGATTTTTACAAATCTTTAAATTATTTCTAGTAAATTATGGATAGGCTCTTCCCATTGTTAAATCTTGAACACTTTAACTTTTTACTAACTTTTTAATAATATGAATAAAATCATCATTTGAGAACCACTGTTTGAGTTTACTGTGGCTGACTTTAATTGATACGAATTTTATTTTTAAAGATCTGAAACATTTCCATCTGATAAAAAAGTAAAAAGTAAGGAAAACCACTGAGAGGTAAATACTTCTTCAGAAACAGTTTGGAGCATTGGGTATATATCAGGTTAAGTTCATTGTGTGCTGATGCTCAGTTGCTTATCTTATCTGTGCAGTTTTGTGTTGCAATCTATTGAACCAACTTAAAAGTTTTATGGTCACGGTATGCTTATATAACCAACAGATTATAGATAAGGCTGATATAGAAGGCAGCATGGCAAAAAAACTAACCAGATGATCATACTGCTAGATGCTCTAAATTCTGCTATTTGTATTAGCAGGCTTTAGGAAAACATATATTTTTATTGTTAAATTGATTCATTTAAGTCTATGTTTGGTATAGAAGTAAGCACCTGTTTGTTAAGGGGACTACTACAATACAATAATTAACAAAACATAAATTATTAAGTAAAAAAAAACAGATTTGAAAAATACCTGTTCTATTCATCCGTTTTGAAATATATGTAAACATCAGGTATTTGAAATCATGTAATTATAGTCTTGAGACCAGACTAACTTTAGGAAGACAAGATCTTCCAAAATACCATCACTTGAAATACGATTCAACAAATTTCTATTTCATTTGTTCAGAAAACTGTTTTCCTACACAATAAAACAAATGCATAAAAAATAAGATCAAACTGTTCTTGGTCTATAAAAACTGCATGTAGTCTAAAAACCATCTGCATGTTATTTTGAGTTTATTAGAAAACAGATAAAGATACAAGGGGATATGCTTAACTACATCCATTTTGACAATCTTGTTAGTACACATGCATGATCAACAGCACTCAAATTATTATTGAATGGTCAGAGTATCTTTTTAACATTTCACCACTGCTACACAAACATGGCAATATTGATAAAATTAAATATCACAGTCAGGTTAAATTGCCAGATCAGTGCATATCTGCTGTTTACCATTTTACTCTTGTTGTACTTCTTAGATTTATTACGAACATACGAACAATTATGCTGCATTAGCAGATGTGAGCCAAGAGCAAACCATGTATCAGTGTTAGCTAAGAAAGACCTGATCAGTTATTTTAGAAATATTAGTTAGGAAAGATATTTGTTAAAAATACCTCTTTCACAGTTTGTACAGCTGCTATCAAAACTTGACACACCTTTGAGTAGGTTTCTAAATGATAAAGGCAATACAAAGCTACTTACAAGTGGGGTCCTTTCTCCATATTTGCTCCAGAAGGTCATCTTCACTGTGTTCTTGTGTCCCGTTCGCTGGTCAAAGGTCTGGCACGTCTCAAATGGGGGACTGTAAAGGTGCAAACTCACAGCACACTCTGTGTGACTGACATTCTCCACACGATGCAGACCAATGGAGTCTAAAACACATAAGAATTGTCAAAAAAAAAAGCTTAGAGACAGCATAACACTCAAGGATGGAAAATGAAACGGTAATCCATTTATTTGTGCCACAACTAACTGGGACATTTTTGAGATGCTTTATATCAGCATCTGTCACATGAGTCAAGAATGGAAATTTCCTTTAAACAACTCCAATATATGGATTATAACATATAACAGCATATCATATGAGACACAATGGATGCCAAAATCAAAATAAAACAACAAAAACGACAACAACAAAAAAACCGTAGAGTTTGCTTTCTTACCATTGATATAGGCAACCTTGTTTTCCTGGAGGATTCTCTGAGATTTTTGCACCATATCATGTGATTTGCGATCTGGCCAGTCAAAGAGCGTCTCCTTCAGCTGCCCCTGCAGCAGCTTCATGAAACAGTGGGAGTCTGTGTGGTCGTGGATACTACTGCAAAGTGTCAAACAATACATGCAACAAGTTTTAGGATGTAAAGGATGGCCAGTTTTCTGTCTTTCGCAGAACTGAGATAAAATCCCGCCGCCAAAAAAAAGAAAAAAAGAAAACAGCTATAACATACTTGAATCTTTAGTACTTGTTTTATTGTAATAATTTTTTAGTGGCTTTATTATGTAAAACTATATAGTATTAGAACTTACGTGTTGTATTGTCATTTGCTAGAGGTGACAGTTATTACGGTGATTTAAACTAGTATAAATTTGCAAAATGCACCAATGCAGTGATTTTACTATTAATAAGTATTAGGGATACATTTTTGTTATTTGATCATCTGTTTTAGAGGAAACCAACCTTCCATGTCCTTCACCCCAGCAGAGAATCATGAGGTTGAACTTCCCATTACCCTCATCAACCAAATTCCTGGTGTACCTGCAGACAAGAAAACGTTCATTTCATTAGAAAGGAAAAAAGGGCCATGATAAATCAGCTCTATTCCTGTGGCTTTACACAAACGAGAGTCATAATTTGCACTTAATAGCAAAAAATGGCAGGAATTTTTTAATTATGTTTACATAAAAAAAAATTAATTACTCAATTATCCATTATTTATAGGTATAAATTAAAATATCAATGAATTGTTCAATATCATAAATAAGAAAAAACATTTACTTCAAAAGTTACATTATTTTATTTCAAGAAAATCAGATAAGGATTCAGTAAAGATAAAATAATAGAGTACAAAAATATATCAGACGACTGTAAACTAAAACTACTACTACTACTCCTATGAATATTATTAATAATTCCTTATAAATAACAGGAAAGGATTTATGCACCATGCAGTATTTGGATACAAATGCGTAAAGTAATCATATTGTGCGTCACCAACAATTAAAAGTGAACGTATCCGAAGGTCTGATTCTTTGTCGCATAAACATTTGTAGCATTTCATTTTCAGTATTAAAAAGCATTTTTAATTAGCATTTCTCTCTTTCTGTCTCTCTCTGTAAACATTGCGTTATTCAGGTCCGCGCAAAGCCTTTTTGCGCAAAGCCATCCTTTTGCGCAGCTCCATGCGTCCTGCAGCGCAATAAGCGGGTGTGTGTCCCTCCGGGCTCTTGATTGGATAACCCCCCCTCACCCGCTTTTCATTGATTCCAAATCAACACAAACTATCTGCAACAAAGTCATGTTTATGTCTCTCTCTCTCTCTCTCTCTCTCTCTCTAAATAAGTCTTAATTCTTAAATTGACTGACAACGGTTGGTATAAGATTCAAATCGAAACTAAATCGGAATTAATTATGCAAATAGGTCCTTTTTTTATTTAAATAAGGTGAGCTGAAGCTGTTCCACAAGATGGAGACAACAAATAGCTTCTTTCATTCAAAGTTTTCTTCATTTGTAAAGAGAGACTAAAGAGAGAACAATTCTAAGAAACTTTAATAACAGCTTTACTCTAAAAAAAAAAAAAAAAACATGTTAAAAAGGGCGAATTAAACAAATTAAAGTAAACAAAATCAACAACAACAACAAAAAAACCGTATAAAACTATATCTGGTAATGAATCTTTGCATGATGAATATTATATATTACCTGTACTGGTCAAACTTTGCATACTTCATCCATTCATGAGGTTTGCTCTCGTATGATTCCATGATATTTTGAACCTCCTCTACATTGATGCAGTCACTCTCGAAAATCTTGTGCAGGATTGCAATCAGCTCATCCAGAGTTTCAGGCTTCACTACCTCAGTTTGATCCATGTCTGTCATGCACAGGAGGATCTTTGCTCTGTTATGTTAACCTTGAATAAAAACTTCTGATTTATCTCCTCCGTCGGTAACTTTTATAGGCTGGCGCAGCAATTTGGGGACGCGCTGGTAATGGACTGTACCATTATAGAAGAGAAGGTGTACGCCCATCACCTATTTAATAAACTTTTCCATTACTGCATGTCAGATTGTTTTGGAAGTAACTGGGTGCGTATTTTTAAACATTCCTTCTTGTAAAAATAACTTTTGAGCTTTTAAACTAAACTAATACAACTTTCTTTCATTACCAGTTTGGGCTAATCCATGAGTCCAATTCGACCACGTTGTCAGAAACACAACCTCCACCCCCCTTTTTATCTCACTCTTTCTCCCAGGCATTTCTCTAACAATAGCTTTGCACCCTGTGTTTGTGCAGCCGCTAAACAGAAAATCAACAAACACACTGTCCAAGATGAGCACCAAACAAGATGGGGAGGAGGGGATAAAGGTGGAGAAAAAGGGTTGCATGCTCAAAGAGGGAAAGATCAGCTGGCCAGAACTGATAGGAAAATTGATGGAGTTAAACACAGAGCAATCCTGAAGAAAAAGATGTGAAAGCTTGCAAAAGACTAAATCAAAAATGTAAATTTTCAGTTAGACTACCATGAGATTGTATTCATTGGTTAGAATGACACAGTCAAAGTCAAGTCAAAATTGTACAAGTTGGGTGGAAAAGCTTAATGAGTGTGAAACATGCAGGAAGGCTATGGAAGTAATAGGGAGGTAAAACCACCATTAAAAATCTTTACCCACTTTTAGTCTTAAAATGTGCAGAAACCATGTTGTTACAATGCACTTCTCTTTAAATGAATGTTATGGAAAAGTTTTTTTGGATTATGAAAAGACTATACTTGATAAATGTGCAGTAAGTTTTTCTATTTATTTTTTTAATAAATGCAGCTTATTGTTTGGACTTCATAATGTGCTTAATAATTTATGACCAAAGAGGACAAAAATCTATTTACCTGAAAAACCTATTTTAAGAATATTGAGATTTATCTGTATCTGGTTTAACTCCTCACACATTTCACAAAAAATACTTAAGATATTTAGAGAGTGGGTACATTTCCACAGCTCAAAGTGTTTCATGTTTTATCTTGCCCTTCTATGTTAACATTGAGCTGCAAGGAGTTTTTTCTGACTTGTCCAACATGCTGTTTTCGCTCCCCCGGGTTATGCAACCTTATCATAAACCGGCCCTGTGAGTGGAACACATTCTTTCCCAAACCTTCCATTCAGGATTTTAGGGGTTTTGGGGAGGGAGTTATTTCCATCCCCCAAACCCCCAAAAGCCCAGTGTGAAGCAGCTAATTGTGGGTGGTGTGTGCGGGAGACATAATGTTTGCTTTCTGACTGTTGCTGTGTGTATGTTGCAAAGAAATACAAAATATCCAGTTAGTTGAGCGTTAAATGAAATACAACAAAACCTTAAAAGAAAAAAAAGTGCACTATATATTATTTATGAATGAAACTTAAATGGTAGTCAGTGGTTTTGGTGTGGATTTGGCAATGCAGCAGGAAAACATTGCACTTGTTTTCAGTCATACAGCAAATTGCACCATGTCAGAGGAAAAATACTCTCTGGCTGAGGATGAATACAGGCCACTATGTTTACCTGTAGCATGAAAAGTGGAGAACTTTCTTTGAATGGGAGCTTGAGCCAAATTTTAGCAGCAGCTGCCACATCATCAGTCCCAGATGTTCTTAAGCGCCCCCTGCTGGTTGAAAGGAAAAGTTTGCTTCAGGACCAACAGGGATCAGCTGCACCCTACAAAGTAGTGCCAGTGATCTGCAGCAGCTTAGTAGAAGCTGCTCTTTAAGTGAGTCAAAAAAAAAAAAATTGAACTTAACTTTACAAAGTCCCATTTAGAGAATGTTTTCATTTTTTTCAACATGTTTCCCTAAAATTTGCTTTGATTTCTGAGGTGATTTTCAATATAAAGGAAACAGAATGTTGTAATTTCTTGAAAAAATAGATTAAATGACAAATAACAAAATTCAGTATGAAATGTAATAGACTTTTGATTTGAAAGGAATCTTTTCCACTTCTAACATTAGACTGTAATTGAAACTTTTGAGGTATTTGTGTTAAATCTCTTCTTCTACTTTGCAGCTGCTCACCTAAATTTACAAATGCAAACAAAGTTATAGTTCGTAGTAGAGTAAACCCAGAGTTATTTAAAAGCCATTTGCAGAACAGATTTACACTGTTGAAAAAAACTGACCTTTCGAGAAAAATAAAAAAAAATTTAATTCTCTATAAACAACACAAGCTCTATAAGCAGCATTCATTAACCAGGACCTTCAGTTACCATACTAAGTAACAACAGTCTTCATTTGTACAAATGTTACCTGTTTAGCATGGATGATAACTTTGGCTTAGATAGAATGGATCCAAGATTTTGAAATAAAAAAATCCAAGAACCCACCTGCAGGTATTTTTTTCTTCATCAGGCATGGATATATTCAGTTGCATACAAGGGTTGAGGAGTTTCTGAATCGTATCTATATATTTTATGTTTTTTTCCCCCCTCACCTTTCCTTGCTCACTCCACTTTGCCTGTTTGTTGGAGTAGTAGTCCACAGCTGGTGGGCAATAATAATATAGTGATGTTTTGTTTATCTGTCTGAAAAAACTCAGTAGGACACGTAAGCCTGTAATCTGTCAATCGTCACTGCTTGCATTTATGGGAAACTAAATTCTGCTGTCTATTGTCTGTTTGTTTCTTATAGTCTGCTGGAAATTATACCAAGACTGATTGGGCGGGGAGTGTTGGCCTAGTGGTTAGAGCAGTGCCCTTGTGCTCTGAGAAGGTTTCAAGTACCCGGTTCAATCCCCACAGCCTGCACTCTGGGTCTCTGAGCAAGACCCTAAACCTCCCACTGCTCCCCAGGCACCACACAATGGCAGCACACTGCTCCCCAACGGGATGGGTTAAATGCACAGGTAAATTTCTCCAGTATGAGATCCATAAAGTTGAATTATTATTATAGTCTAGCTAAAGGTTTCATCAGATGTACTTAAGGCTTTTATAATATTTAAAGATCATCTGGCAACAAATAACATGTTTCAACTGAACTGTAACGAATGGTGATGTTTTGCTGCCTAAACTAAACCTTTCTGTAAATCTTTGACCTATGTAATGGGGCAAAGAGGAAACAGACATTCATTAAAATGTAATGGGAAAAAAAATAGCAGAAAAAAACCCAACAGCTTGATAACTGAGGGAAGAGTGGATAATGAAAACGAATGCAATAAGGTTAACCAGGGGATAATATGGAACAACCAAGGCAGAAAGAGACCAGAGAGACAGACCAAGGGAGACCCAATTAAAATTTAGACCAAAGAGAAAAGACTGATCCAGGTCAAAGAGAATAAAATAGAATACAGAAGGAAGAAGCCATACCTCAGGACACTAAGAACTAAAAGGAGAAATAAATAGATATAGAGTTTATAATGTCCCAATTACTTATCAGGCTTATCATGCAGATTTTAATGTACTTTACGATATGATTTAAATACCATGGTAAAATTTAGTATGCATTTACAGTATTAATTAGAATTGAACTTAACAAATATTAAATCAAAAGTTGTTGCATTGAAGTGAGCAAAAACAGAATTCATTTAAAGGAATGGTTATTGCTCTTCATTAATGTTTTACTTTATTCTAATACCCTGATGTGTCATTAACTCTGGCATGGCCTCTTTCAAAAAGGGAAATAAACAAAAATAGAAAATTGCTGGGACAAGCAATTGGAAAACTGTGGATAATTCAAACCTTAGTGTGGATTGTTCTCTACCCGTGGTCAAGCGCGACTGTTCCATGAGTGGGTCAGAAGTGGGTGGTTTGGGGGACGTGGTAGACCTTGAAATGATGGATGAAGTTAACACAGGATGAACAGAGAAGTGACAGCATGTCAGATAATGATTCAGATAATCATATCTGAAAATGCTTCAGATGTGTTTCAACCCAAGGAAAAATCAAGAATAGTTAAGTTTATTGCTATCTTGTGATTTAACAAAAAGACACTGGGTAACCAATGTCAAAAACTTGACTTCCTTTATTTTGGCTAAGCTAGGAAAAATAAAGTTCTTGGTGATGGAAACCTTTGTGCTCAGTGTGCAAATGAAGAGCAGCTTAAAAAAGTTCTTGAAATTAAAAAATTGGGTAAAATTTAAGGTTAAGAACACAGGATGCGGGGGAGTCCGAAAAGTGGTGGGAGTGAGGGAGTAAAAACAGTGGTGCCTGTAAGTGTATGGGAAGAGAAGATTTAAAGAATCACCTTAACTTCTTAAAGTGATGAATCTAAAAAGAATGAGTTCCACTAAAAATGGTGTTAAAAAAGGCATTAAGACTATTCTAACCGAGTTTCAGGAAGAAAGCCTACCAAATACAGTATTTTGGGGAAAAGCAGGTACAAAAAGTGAGCGTTGAGAGGAAGATGTCTTATGCATTCAATGAAAATAACAAAGTGTGTGATGAACAGAAATAGAACACCAAATGTTTCAATGTCTCAAAAAAAGATTAAAAATGTTTTTTCATTGAAAGGTTGCATTAGTAATAGTCAGTGCTGAGGTAATCAATAGTGCTACAGAAATAAAATTAAAACAGTCAGATCACAATGCTGTTATTTTTCATAACAGTGCTTATTTCTCAGTGGAATGCAAAGAATTTACTGGCTAATGGCCAGGAGTTGAAGAATTTCATTACAGAATTCACAGTTTTGCCTGAAGTTAAGAAACGTGCTTTAGACCATCCTTTATTTTCCAGATCAGTAGATATTAAGTTATTATCAGGAATGATAGGGAGCATGGTGGGGAGGAAGGTGTGCTTATAAAACAATACATTCCATTCAGGATTTTAGGAAAGGGTGACAATCAGGAGTACATAGTAGTGGAAATTTGGAACAATATAAAAACCACTGCAGTTATAAAATTCTATAATCCATTAAACGTGTTAGAGTTACAGAGTCTACTTTATGTTCAAGGGCAAAATATCACAGGGTCATTAATGTGGTGAGTTTATTGCTCATAGTAACGTGTGGGGGTGGGGGGCTTTC